ATTGACCGCCATCCTCCAACAGCCAATCCGGCAACAAGTCCAGCAGTCTCTGCAGCTTCTTTGCCGCGAGTTCTACCCGACGAGATGACGTGAAGTACGCACTATCGTCTGCATATAACGCGAGCAAGACATCGTCTTCCCACTCCTCCAGATGACCTTGGAGTGTGGGAATGTCGTTGGCGTACACCGCGTATAGGTGGGGTGATAGGCAGCTGCCCTGCGGCACTCCCGCTTCAATCGGTCGTGCTACCGAGACAGCCTCCTCGATGTTAACATAGAAGCTCCGTCCCTCCAGGAATGACGGTATTAGCCACACAAGCATTGGCGGCAAGGTATTGTTTTTTTTTTTTTTTGCTTTTCTTCCTGCTATTTTTTATTTTACAGCATCCTTTATTTCTCATGAATTTTGATGTTTTGTTATTCAGCTAGTTTTTTTTTATTAGTTTTTTTTTATTGTATATTACATTAATATATTTACTCTTAATCTACTTATGTCTACGTGACTATTTATAATTTTAATTGTTGCAATACTAAATCTATTTTATCTAATTATCATTTTTTTAAATTGTTTTTATGTTATTACTAACTGGTAGATAACACTTATTCTAACATTTATTTAGTTTTATTTTCCTTATTAATTTTTCCTACACTACTTATTGCAAATTTAAGAAAGTGAGTTCGGCTGTCATTGTAGTTAAATGCTCTGTTTAGAGTGTCTTCTTTTAGCACAAAGCCCATACGCAGTTCACATTCCAGTCTTGCTAATTGAAATTTAGGACATAAAAACTGATTATCACAGCTGCAGTAGGGACTTTCTGCCAATTTATATCTAAATAAGTAGGCTTTAAAACCACCGTGTCCTGTCAATATTTGTGATATTTGATTATTTACATTAATTTTACTAATTGTTTTGAATGCTTCTGTAACATCCGGAAAGAACCTTCTTGTCACGGCTCTAGTTTCCGCCTTGCTATATCTTTCTTGTCATATGTTAATGGTGATTTCCCTGAGTTGGCGCTTTGCGTAGGACAGCGGGAAGCAATCATAGACGGCTGCTTGTTTGGATGTTTCAGCTGCTGACTTTGCTAGTTCATCTGCTCTTTCATTTCCCAAGATGCCACAGTGAGCCTTAATCCAATACATCTTTACATTCCCCTGGTTGATTCGAATTTCATTAATTTTGGCCAGTATTTCCGCTGCTATGGGATGAACGGTGTTTGGATTTGCAAGGCATTCTAGGGCCGATCGAGAGTCACTGAGTATGTTCGCTTTGTTAAAATCACGTTTAGTTTTTATAATCGTTAGTGCTTTAAGGATGGCAACAAGTTCTGCCTGATAGACGCTGCAGTGGTTGCCTAATTTCAACTTGGTTTTGTGAACCTCTTTTCCGTCCTTCCAGCAGCTTACTGCAGCACCAACCTTACCCGAAATCTTTCTACCGTCTATATATATTATAGGCCAGTCGTTTTGTATCATGCTAACGTCTTCTTGGGTGCATATAAGGTCATATGATTCCTTGACGCGTTCTGCTGGATGTGTAAAAGGTAGTGTAAAAGGACTAATAGGTTTTGCTAACATTCTGCCAGGGAGATGAGTGAGTGTTTTTCCTCTTTTTATTAAGTACAATTCTTTTTGCTCTTGTGCTCTTAAATCTAAAGGTATAATTCTTGCTAAAGTTGCGCTGGAAATCAATGAGGATATGCGGTGTGCTTTACAAATCATAATGCTGAACTTTCTAATTATTTTGTCAAGTTTTTTTGCGTATTTGTACTTTATTTGCCTCTTTACCCCAGGATGCGGCTGCATATAGCATTGTTGGTTCTACGACAGTGAGGTATTGTTCTCAAAATTTCTGAGTTTAATACCCATTGCGTTCTCGCTGTTCTGGAGACTTTTTTATATAACGCTATAGCTCTTTTGGTGGTGTCATTTACATGTTTGACGAAGTTCAGTCTCCTATCCACAATTAGTCCAAGAATTTTTAAGTCTTCAGTAAATGTTACTTCGGTGTTATTTAGTTTTAGGTTTGGTTTATGATACTTTTTCTTTTTAGTGATAAGGATGGCTTGGGTTTTGTGTGCAGCAAAATTCATCTTTCTTGATTTTCCCCAGTTTGAGATATGTTCTAGAGCCAAGTTAACTTTCTCCTCTATTTGTTTTGCATCTTTGCCTGAACCTATTACAATGATGTCATCAGCATACGCTTGCACATGCACGTTCCATTTTTCTGTTTCCTGGAGCAAGGAATCTAGTAGAACATTCCACATTAGGGGTCCACAGATTGAGCCCTGTATGTAGCCTTTACTTGTATTTTTGCTGACCTCTGCGTTGGCATATCTAAGTGTTATGGACCTTTCTGAGAGATAACTCGTGATCAACCTTAAAATTGCTGGATCAGCATCCTTCTTTTATAATTCTGTGATCACGGCTGGCCACCACGCATTGTCAAAAGCCCCTTCAATGTCCAGCGAAACAATAACTACTAATTCTTTGTTTCTTACACAGTCCTTTACTGTCTCCATTGCGTCATATAATGCATCTTCTGTACCCCTCTGTGGGACGAAACTATATTGCCGACCGCTTAATTTATTATCGTGGTCAAGCTGCCATGTGAGTCTGGTTACAAATAGCTTTTCCAGTACCTTCGCCAATAAAGGTAATAGACCTATTGGACGGTATGCTTTTGCGAGAGTATAGTCCTCCTTATTTGGTTTCGGAATAACGCGAATGATTGCGTTTTTCCATATCTGTGGAAAATATCCTAAAGATAGACACTTATTAAATATTTTAAGGAGAATTCCTGGTTCAGCTAAGTAGGATTTGAAGCAAATATCAGCAGTCAGTCCATCTCCTCCTGGTGATTTTTTGGAGCTCATGTCCTTGAAAACAGTTTCAACTTCAGTGGCGGTATATGGTATAGTGTGAGTGTATACTGTACTGTTGTTAAGGTCTTCTCTGATGCTTAATGCATTTTCCCTTATATTTATGTGGTCTCTATCATCAGTGGAGTTGTCGTCTATTGGATAGAATGTGTCTGCCAAAAGCTTGGCAGATTGCTCTGGGGATAAGGTGTTATTTCCCGTGGATGATTTTAGTAACGTGTCATTCTTTGCTGCTGAATTTTTACGAATTATCCTGTATATGCTCTGCCACATGTTTTCCTTGTCTTGTCTGGAGCAGAACTGTTTCCAGCTTGAGGTCATTGCTTCCATCATGAGGTGTTTATAATCAGTTTTAGCTTGTATGTAGTCTTCAATTACATACAGTTTCCGTCTTTCGTTAGCATATTTTATTTTTCTCCTTTTCTTTATTACCTCCCTCTTTTTCTCCTGTAGTTCCTTATTCCACCATTGCGTCTTTTTTGGTATATTTCTCGCTAATAAGGGTAAAGTATCTTCACAAGATTTATGAATACATGTGGTATATGTATTGATGCAGTGTTCTAATAATTTTGGGGTACTTATGGAATCGATGAAGTCATGTGTGATCTTAGAATTGTTTAGTTCTCCTCTCAGTCGTATTGAGAACGTTTCCCAGTCTGCCTTGCTTGTGTTATAAATACGCGTTGAGATCCTTTGATGTGTCATTATATTTAATTTTTTGATATTTATCTCGAAAGTGATCGCACGGTGATCTGAGAGTGTAACTAAGTTATGGTTCACTTTCCAGTTGGTTATTTTATGCAGTAGAGCTGGCGTGCATGTGGTAACATCAATGATGCTGGAGTATTCTCGAGCCCTTCTCCATACATGAAAAGTTGGTGTTTGTTCTTCATTTAATATTTGTAGGTCTAGTTGTGCTAAGGTCTCAGCTATAACTACTCCCCGCTTATCCTCCACATTGCACCCCCACCAGGGACTTTTGGCATTAAAATCCCCTCCAAGAATAACGTGCTCGGTGTCGAGATTTTCTATGAATCTTGTAATTTTGCAGAGATCTTCTTCAATATCGGCACCTTCCTCGAGATATACATTAATTATAGCTATGCAAAATTCATTTATACTAAGTTTACATACAACTAAATTCTCTGTTATCATGCTTTGGTTGACACAATACTGTATGTTCGGATTAACAACAATGACAGCCGACTTGACTGGTTTTTCTCTGTTACCAGTGTCTTTTTGTATAACTCTGTGCTTACAAGTTACATGAGCCTTAGCTCCAACATATGGCTCTTGGACCATTAAAATTGAGAAACCCTGCTGCACAGCAGCTTGTATACTTTCTTGTAGTGCACCTTGTCCTCTACCGAGGTTTATTTGAGCAATTTTCATTCTCTCTGGACTGCTGTCTTTTGTCTGTTCTCTGTTGTTCTTAGCAATAGGATGTTAAAGATCTTGCAATTCTGTCCCACCGCTGCCATTCAGGGCATTCAGTGCTATAGGCTGGATGAGTACATGCCCAATCTATTGCTTTCTTGTTGATACAATTTGTGCATTTTGGAGCTTAATTTTTATTGCAACACTCTCGTGTATAGTGTGGCTCGGCGCAGTAGGCGCAAATTGCTGTATCGGCCTTACAGTCACTAGCTCGATGTGATAATCCTAGGCAGCGGTAGCACTGAATTAAGGGCGACTGGTCCACTGCTGGCACGATATGGAAGCCAAGCCTTATTCTCTGATCTTTAAGTCTTGACCAGACATGTGGGCTGACTTCCACAATTACGTTGTTTAATGTGTTGGTACGGCCTTTGACCCTTCTCACGACTTTTATGTGCATTTGTGAGGTAGATATTTCTTTTAGCAATGAACCATTTTGTTTCAGTACCGCTTCTTCAATTTCCTTATTATTTAGGTCCATGGCGACTCCTACTAATTTTAGAAGGGGATTTTTGGTGGGAAGTTTCTGCACGGTCAGTTTACTTGAGGTACTTTTGAGTTTATCATGAAGAATTTTTCTATCTACTTCGGTCTCGCAGCTTATAAGCACCTTCTGATTTCTGGCTTTTTTATATTGCTTATTCCTATACCCAAATCGATAATATTTATATCATTCTTTACCTGTTTGATAAAATCGTCACTGGTGTTTCGGGGATCAGCAGATTCTACCATTATGGAGAAGTTGGGCTTAGCAACAACTTCTGAGTATGATCTAGGTGGTAAATAGGGCTTTACAACTGTCTGCTTCTGTGTTAAAGCTTTCTCGGGTTTGCGCTGTCCTTGTAGAGAATTATCTTGATTCTTATCTTCCGTGTTTGCTCTGTCTATTATTGATTGGGATCTGACCTCATTTCGAAGTCCTTCTATAGCCATTCTGATAGGTGCAGCAGATTCCACCGTAGTGTCCTGTAGTTCTCTAGTTTCCCGCCTCAGTTCTTCAACGCTGGCTTGTACTGACGTGATCAAAGAATCAGCAGGGCACTTCCTGAGTTTTGCTATTTCCTGAGAAATTTGGGAGATTTCACTGCGCAGGTCGGTGATGTCTTCTTGGAACTGCGTTTTTAATTGATGAAATTCTTGTCGTAATTCCTGAGAAATCCCCTGAACCTGCTCCTCCTGACTTTTCTCTTGTTCAGTGGAAACTGTCGGAAGTCCTGGAAATAATGACCACCATTTTGACTTGATATCATTTATTGCACTGCGTATCTCTTGCAGCTCAGCAGTGAGAGACGTGCTTGCCAGTTCTTTCGTGATAGTATGCCTTTGAGATTCCGCTTCCTTGCGAAGAAGTCTTAGTTCTTCTTCTAATGTCTTTATTTGATTAGATATGCAGCTAGTTGATGACATTTCGTGTCTGACTGTAGTCACCTCATGCTTAGTTTCAGTGATCGCTGTGCATAAGTCATATGACATGATCATTCTCATGGATTCAGTTTCCCTTTGCAGTTTGTCAACACATTCCTTTAAAAGAGCGTATTGTCCTAGCGTTTCGTGCATAAACCGTGCGTGTCTTTGAGTTAAACGCTCGGATTCTTTTGAGACATTTAGTTTCTGTTTATTGGCTTCGAGCATGTGAAGCATTCTGGAGTCCGAGAGCTTTAAAACCATTTCGTACAAAGTGTATAGTCCAGATATTACACTTTCTCGTATTTCTCTTTTGAGATTACCAGGCTTTTCCAGTTCTGATTTAGAGCGTTGTAGTATCTCATTCGCATGTCTTGGCAGTTCGTTAAGAAACATCCGACTGCCACTTATAGAGCGAGTAGAGTTGTCAAGGGAAGTGTTTGTGTCCCCACTGTCGTTATCGGAATCAATTTGGTCCTCCGCCTCAGACGTTCTTCTCATGGTTTCTCCTGCTTCAACTGCTTTAGCCTGTCGGATCTGGGTTTTAATACGTAGTAAACTTGAATCCGATCTGGTAGGAAGAGGAGAAGACATTATAGCTTCCTCCAAGTAAGGCGATGATGTGGTTGCTTCTGGGGTAGAGGATAGCTTGAATATCTCTTCTGTTTCAAGGGTAGGTGAAGGCTGGTTACGAAATTGTTCCGATTCTGAGCCAGCGGTTACATTCTGGGCGTCAACTTTAGGCACGCAGTTATCTGTAGACTCGACCAATTTTGTTTTTGAACTATGTTGGGTTTTAGTAAGTGCTTTTGCAGTCGTTAGTGACCCACTATTAGATTTTATCTTATTTAGTGTTTGTCTTTCTGAGCAGCTTGATTCTGATTTTCCAGATTTGTCCGACATTGTTGCCCTATGATAGTCGAAGCAGAAGCTACTTAAATCACTATTACTCAATGTAGAATTTTTTGAGGGTAGAGTGAATTTTTTGCTCTGATCTTAGCTTTATCTTATAGAATTCAATGTCCTGATATCTGTATAGAAAACCACGTTCCAATTGGACCTTCCGTTACGGAGTTACAGTCTTTCAAAGTTTTTCAAGATGGTAGACTAAGATGGCTGCTCTAAACTAATTTTAGGACAACTTCGATCCCACAAATAATCGAGTTTGTGCTTATTCGGTTCGTCTTACAGTTTATTGATTTCACCGGACGTGTATCAAATTCGAAATGTCAGCAGTCAGCTCCTGAGTATTTATAAATCTACCGTAGTGTGTATGAAGAAAACCGGAGCTTTATATGATAACCCGTTGAAATGATACGGCACTTTAAAAATTTTGAAAATGGCTGCCAAAATGGCGAAAAAAAGGCTAAAAGCTTATTTCTCAGCAACGGGGCCACCTAAATAGGTCGAGTTTGGGCTCTTTAGTAAGGTGGTGACAAGAGCTAGCAAAAAAAAGTCTAACAAATAATGAAAAGTTTTTCAGTAAAGAGAAATCCTGAAATAAAAAACACTGAAACACATTTTAATTCCGAACTAATCAAGATATTTTTAATCTGAAAACGAGAAATTTATCCACAACCTGCTATCTAACTTATGGTATGGAGAATTTCACCCCCAATGACCTGGAAGAGGTGGCAAGTGGAAGAGTGTTTTCACGAAAATATCAATTTCTCGGTAATTATGAAATAGAAAATACTAAGTTTTTGTTGATTTGTTAAGAAATAGTAGATACAAAACTCAATAACAAAATTGATATGTTATCACACAAATTTAAACGATATTTAAGTTTAAAATGAAAAGAAATCTAAAAAATTGACATTTCGGTTAATAACTCCTTGAATTGTAGTCCGATTTTAATGCAACAAGCTTTGGAATGCTAGATTAAAAGTGGCGCAATGGAACCAACTTTCAAAAAAAGCCGCACGATTTTCGTTCAAATTTTCACGGCCACGTGGTTTTTCGGTTTTTCGCTAATAACTTTAAAAATAATTGTCAGAAAAATCTGAGAGATATGCTAAAATGTAGAACCAGTAAATAGTAATGCAACGCAAAAATAAAAAATATGGGTTATCGATCTAAAATCACGGCGTAGGCAAAAAAGAGTAAAATCTAACCTCAAAATTTTACCTTTTCGCGCTTTTTCTCCGAGGTTTTGCACAATATCACTTAGCTATTCACTAAAACCAATACACTCACTGATAAGATAGCACAAAGCTGAACCAAATAACACTTGTTGCACGAAAATCGGAGTACTTTAGCCTATTCAAACGATTTTTTTAATGCGGAGCGACAGAGAAAACTATGCGTACGGGCCGAGCGTCAGCCGATTCAACCAAGGTGTTGTTATTAATTAATTTGTGGAGTAGCCCTGCGTGCCACACTTATGCGGCCGCGGTTGTGCTCGGCCGCAAGATAGTGCAGCACGCGGGTTAGCTGGGCTGTGATAGAATATGCTCTGCGGAAGCCAAATTGTTCCTCCCGCAGAGCAATATGCGGAAGTAATCTGATGAGTGTAATTTTTTCGAAGAGTTTTGCTATGTGCGGCAATAGAGTTATGGGGCGGTAGCTAGCCGGGTACCTTCTACCCTTACCCAGCTTTGGTAGCACGACAATCTTGCCCCGTTTCCAGTTTGTTGGGAAGTGGCCAATTCTTAACACGCCGTTGAAAAGTCTGGCCACCTCCACAACTACCCTTCTGGGCAGCTGCTTTAGGGCCATGGTGGTAATGCCGTCGCATCCCGGTGCTTTGCGGTTAGGTAGGCGCATGATGGCACGCCTTACCTCCGCTGGCGATAAAATCCTCGCCTCGCAATGGTGGTGCCGGGTGCGACAGGTATTCCTGTACGCGGTTTTCTACACTTTCGGTGTGCTCCGCGTACCCCTCTGCAATGGGTCCTCCAGTGCTTTGCGGAAGCGTGCCCAGTTCGTCCGCATTTTGGGACCTCAGGGCACTACGGCGTCCGCATCGGTGTCTATAGTGAACAACACGGGGAGGTGCTGCATGTCCAGATCATACAGCACCTCTAGCCGTATTCTGAACGGCACTTGATTGCACAACACAATGTCCAGGACATCGGGTTGATGAGTAGGATTGGAGGGGATGTGGGTGGGCTCATCTGGACCCAGTACCTCATATCCCCACTCTTCAGCGTGTTCGAAGAGTTTCTTACCAGGAGGACGAATTACGAAACGTTGAATGTCGTCTACAATGTCCTGGGACAATGCAGGTATCGGGCCTCGGGGTAACCCCCATTGCCCGGGTGTCCTCATATCCCATTACTATGGGACAGTCCTTTAGCCTATTTTAGGCTCGATAGCATACACGGGTTTATTTTCCGTGGTGACGGTAAATTGTTTTTCCGTAGTTATCCAACTACGGAAAAAGGTGGTTATTTGGTAAGTCTGAGTTGGCCTTTCTGCGGCATTGTGGGTTGTTACTCAACTCTCTAATCACATATAGAGAGGAGTTCTCTTGGAAGAGGTCGCCCGTCCGGTGGCCGGGTGTGTAACGGCGCAAAGCCGTTAAGGTGTTCGTGTGGCCCGTTATCGGCACGGTCAAACATGCCGCGCACTAACCGGGCCACGAAGTCGGTGATGTTCTCGATCTTCAAGTCGGCCGCTATCACGTCGTTCCGGACGTAGCGACCTGCTCCGACGATCGTCCTTAATGTCAGATTCTGCTGGGCCTGTAGTCGCCGCCTCAGAGGGTCGCTCAGAAGTGCGTACCAGGCCGGTGCAGCGTAGGCGATGATGGTCCGGATATACATCTTGTATATCCGGAGCTTGGTTCGTATAGGCAGCTTGGATGCCAGGACCGGCAAGAGCGTCGCCCGCGCACATCGGGCCCGGCGGACGACGAAGTCGACGTGCGCGGTCATGCGCAGCATCCTGTCGATCCTGCACCCAAGGTATGTTACAGCCTTCTGGTACGCAATCTTCTGGCCGTTGAGGGTCAGCGGAGGTGGAAACTTCCTGAGACGGCGAGTGAGCAGAGCGGTCGTCTTACCAACGTTGACGACCATCCTCCACTCATCCAGCCATGGTGGCAGCAGGTCCAGCAGACGCTGCATCTTGGCAGTGGCTATGTGGGCTCTTCTGGACGAGGTGAAATAGGCGCTATCGTCCGCGAATAGCGCCAGCTCAACGTCGTCCTCCCACTCTTGAAGCCTGCCTGCCAGTGTAGGTATGTCGTTGGTGTAAGCCGCGTACAGGACTGGAGACAAACAGCTGCCCTGTGCGACGCCGGCTTTGATGGTTCTCGTTGCGGATTCGGCGTCCTCTACGCAGACGTAGAACTTCCTGTTTTCCAGGAAAGACGCTATTAACCGCAATATAGCAAGAGGGACACTGGTCTGTTCTTTCAGCTTATATAATAGTCCTGCGTGCCACACCCAGTCGAACGCCTTCTCGATATCGAGAAAGACGCCCAACGATATACGGCCACGATTGTACTCTGCCGCAAGCAGGTGCAGCACTCTAGTCAGTTGAGTGACTGTGGAGTGACCCCTCCTGAATCCGTGCTGCTCCGCCCGAAGTTGGATGCACGGACGGAGACGTCTTAGCAGCAATCTTTCAAACAGTTTAGCTATATGTGGTAATAGCGTGATCGGCCTGTAGTTGGCAGCTCTACGCCTGTCCTTCCCGGGTTTCGGCAAGACGATGATTTTGCCTTTTTTCCAGTCCTCCGGGAAGTGAGATGTCCGCAGTATCCCATTGTAGAGTCGACCAAGCTCTACTATGACTCTATTGGGCAGCTGTCGGAGTGCAGCGTTGGTAATCCCGTCGTGCCCCGGCGCCTTCCTCGGTTGCAGGCAGGTTACTGTCCTCCGCAATTCTGCGGGGGGAGATGAACCAATCTCCTGCAAGAGGCGGCGCGGGCGACGACAGGAACTCCTGTACGCGACTTTCCTTCCGGGCATGAAGCTCCATAAACTCCGCACTTGCTGTATTCGGCATAAATTGCTCCTCGAAGTGCTCGACTAGGATATCCGCTCTGCCCTTGGCATCGTAGCATCGTTTACCCGTATTGTCAGTCAGCGGGCAAACGGGAGGTTTGGATTTGGTCAACTGCCGGTTCAGTCTATAGAGCGACACATCATGCTCTTCCGCCTTCTGGATGCGCCGATCCCAGGCCTCTCCTTTGAAGGCCTGGACTGCAACCGACAGTTCCTCCGGTAAGGTGTTCAGCTGTGTCTTAATTCTGGGACAGCGAGCACGCGCCCAGAGCTTTTTCAGCGCCCTTTTGCGCTTGATCTGCACGCATATCTCACGCGGCAGATCGTCTCGCCTTGCTGTAATCGGGACGACCATAGAAGCCGCGTGGAGGGCTTCCTTGATGTTGTTGGTAATTCTAGTAGCAGCGGCCTCTACGTCGTCCGCTGTGCTTATAGGATGGTGTGCTGGAGGTCTCTGCTGAAGATGTTGACAGTAGAGCCTCCAGTCGGCAAGGGTTTTAAAAGCTCTAGGCGGCGTAGTCACTGCCTTTAGGCCAAGGGTTATCAGTAACGGGAGGTGCTGTGAAGGAAGGTCGTACAGCACTTCTACCACTATCGGATAGTTGACGTTCCTAGTGAGCACGATGTCTAATACATCCGGATGCCTCCGTGGGTCAGTAGGAACGTGAGTTGGTTCCTCGGGACCTAGAACGTCGTACTGGTTCTTTTCTGCATCTTCGTATAGCTCGAGACCCAGCGGGGTGATCACTCCGGACCCCCACGCCGAGCGTTTGGCGTTCAGGTCCCCGGCGATGATTGTAGGTGTATCGCCTTCCATCACCGTACGGATGTCTGAGGAGCAGAATGGAGTCCCTGGCGGGCGGTATGCTGCATATATCCTTAGTTCCTCGCCCGCCGCCTCCATTCTTATGCCGATTAAACGCATTGTCTGGTAGGATGGTAGATCCA